ATAATTCGTTTCTAAATACGTCCATGCGGAGGTAGGCATGTACGGTATGTGGTTGATTGCTTGATTTTGTTTATATCAGGTTTGCCACGGAATACTTAAAAACTTGATGGTCTTGTAATACTTTTGAGTACCATTGACACCTTGTACAACACCAACCGAATAAATGATATAAACATTTTTCAAGATGGAAATATTATTTATTACAATCAGAAGACATTTGGAATTAATTACCGGCTAGATTAAAGGGGATTAAGAAAATTTACACAGATAAGCGAATGCGAGAAAGCAAATTGCGCAAGGTCAGGGGACCGAGATAATATTTTTATCCAAAGGTGCTATGCACACTCGGTGACATGATTCCTGCCCGGCCTCTGAAGACACGTTTCCGTGGACTTGAAGGATGTTTTTATGCGGAGAGAACTCGGAAAAGCTTGGGGCAGGTGCTGCTCGCGGTCGGTAGCTTGCACGTAGGTAACGTGGGAAGCAAAAGGTTTTTCTTACATATTTGTTTAGTCGTGCAGCGTTAACCATTGCAATACCGTAATTGTATATTGCATCATCGTTGTTGTTGGACTAAGAGTCAGATGGCAAAAAAAAAAAAAAAAAAACAGGTATCCATTTAGCATACAGTCAATCTCCGAAATCGTGTTTGTGTTTTTAGATGTTAATGAGAATGCCACGCGATAAAGGTGTGGGGAAGGGGGTATATGAAGATTCTTAAATTGTTACATAATTGATTAGCCCCTAATGGTCAGGCCTCTTTGGCGGGATGGTGAAAATAAAGGGAGCATCGATACACCATTTGTTAAAAAAAGGTAAGAATAAGTGAACAAGTGACTCAAAAAACTCAGCCAAGGAAGTGAACAATGGGAGGCGTTATTCAATAACTCCTTTAGGCGTAATCACAGTGCGCATATTAGGAAATATGATGGTACATTATAAAAAGGACACCTGCCAAGATCGACGACGAAATCAACTCATCTCCCCTTTTCTTAAACCATTCGAGTAAACAAAAAAAAATGACGATTACATTGAGGGTCCGGCATTAAGGCAAATGCTAATTAATAAACATGTCGTCTAGGAAAAACACGAGCCATTGGAAGAGTAATTAATTGTTGGGCGGACGAAATTCGTGTCAAACCGAGAATCAAAAAAGACCCCGTGTGGGGAACGCCCATGTGGCTTTTGCGTTTGAACGCACAATACAATCTTGCTGAAAAGGTATTGTTTAATTTAATTACATAATCGGTTAGATGTGCGTCGAGTGTTCTGTATGATTCTTCAAAAGGAATTGGCTGATGAGAGGGAAGTGTTCAAAAAAAAAAAAAAAAAGAAAAGAAAATAATATGCAATTTGCTCCTGAAATAAACAATTTGTTCGGAGATCCTAATCCCAAAAATGCTCAACAATCATTCACAATCCCAAAATGACATGTATCGTGCAGAGTGAGAAAAAACGAGAACAAAGTAATTACCGTTCATGGCAGGAAATTTGCGAATGACAAGTAATTATTACAAAAATGATGCATTATCGCATTTTGCATTTTTTTTTTTTTTTTTTTTTTTCATGCACACATACGTGTTCTCGTTGCGTCCTCCTACGTGTACATACTTTATTTGGTCAAATCTGATATCCGCCCAACTTACCGAAAGGTACGTAAAAAAAAAAAAAAAAAAAAAAAAAAAATCAAAACAAAACAAAGAAATCAATCAACCATTTGCCGAGACAGAACTTTAGAGAAACGCCAATGAATTGGATACGAGGACGTGAACGTGTGTGGAGAGGAAATTGTGTTTTCTTGCATACTCATTCCGGGATGAATCACATACATGCATGATACTACAAAGAATTCACGAAATGTCCATCCATATATACTGTATATCATATGTATACGGCACATACCAGATTTCTACTTTGCACACCGACAATCTGTGGGAATACGAAGTTTTTCCGGGTCCCGGTGTGCTCACTTGTATTGTGCACCATCTCCTGGCATGTCGAATTAACAGCTTCTTGTACAGTATTTGTGATGGTGAGATATGATTTTTCGTTACTAATATTTCGGAGAAACTTTTTAATATCGTTGTGCACATAAGTACAGTACGTTATTTATTAGGATGCAACGTTATCAAGTATAAACACCCAGGTAGCTGCTTGTGCTCGCATAAAATTTAAATCCGAGGAAGATCTTCCGCACAAGTAAATTTAAGTATCTCCCGGATATGACACGCTATATAAATGAGAAGATTCTCGTAATACCTGTAATGTTACTTGCAGCTGGTGATTAATTTATTTTTCGTGTAACGATTGAAATTTCTTTGTATTGTCTTACGCAATCAAGCAGATTATGACACAAAGACATCTCACTGCAGCGTGTGCTTGCGAAACTCGTAAATTTGGTAATTTAATATATTTTAGTCCCAAATTATAGTGAGGTACCACACGTATACAGTCGAGTCATAGGCGAGATTCCACGGAACACTCTTATCTGACGATGCGATCGTTTCAAGAGACCCCATCATCTTTTCAAAGACGCGTTGAATTAACCATTTAATCTAATCATAAAATTGTGTATCATTTTAGCGTTCTTGGCCGTTAAAAAAAAAAAAAAAAAAAAAAACAAAACAAATTGCAAAGAATTGTTGTATCACAACCTTGTATAAATAAATACCGTTAATTATCTCATGCACCAAGTACACACGTAAATTATAAATTTACTTGTCCAGATTTTTTTCCTTCTATCTGATTCTACGGATTGATAGTTGATACTGGATAACTTCTCTGATCCTCGAGTTATATATACGTATTTATTATTATCGGATGTAATTTAGTTAATCGATCGTCAACACATCAAGAAATCAAGAACGTAACCCAACTTTAAATTGTGTAACTTCTTTTTGCATAAAAAATTACAAAAAAAAAAAAAAAAAAAATTTGTATCATATACCCTTCCTCTTCTGTGCCTTTAAACATACACACACGCACACACACACATTATAAAATATTTATTATAATTATTATCAACTTTTTTTTTTTTTTTTTTTTTTTTTTTTTACTCTTTCTTTTTTGGCGTAGAGCTCTGGCTTCTGGCCAAAGATTTTTTTTTTTTTTCATTCTCGACTCCACGAATCCTGTGCAAATCACAATTAATTCTTTTTTTTACATTACTGGCGGCTCGGTCTTCTTAGCATTTCGAATCACGCTATCACATCTTTTTCAACTTCACGTCGTCTTCTCCACCACGCTCGCATTACAACGCTCTTGCGCAATTACTCCCAACGCATATATCCGTGAAATAAAGTGTCATACCACGCACCATTTCACAACTCAAAATAACCTTGAATCTTTGAATTTCTTCACGCTGATTCTTGGTAAACCTTTTTTACTCATTCATCGCAGCACTTGTAGAAGTGTCCGAGTCAATTTCAAAGTTATTTAAAAAAAGATCTTCACTGGCCCCCGGTCTCGCACAAACCACTCTGACAGACTCCACTCTGTCGTCACCTTCATGCATGGAGCCAAGTCATTGCTCAGTTATTGTGGTCGATCGTTCTTGCACTGAGGAAACTTATCAATCGTTGGGACCGAGTGACTTGCAATCTTCCTGCATCAGTGACAGGTGCACATGCAGGGCCGGTAATAATCAGAATGTCGAGGATTTGATTCAAATATTTCTATCGATTTTCTCTGAAGGTAAATATCCTCTTTTGAAAGAATGAAGGAAAAAAAAAAAAATATATATATATATATATATATATATCGGTAAATAATGAAATGAAGCAAAATAAAATAAAAATTCCACTTGATAGTTTATTAGACATTTTCAAATCGTACAACCAGATCGGATTCCATATCGCGTAAAACATGTTTTCCAACGAGTTAAAGATTCAATGTTTCATTTTGAATAGATAGCATCATAGATATACCCCACCAGTCAAGGTTGAACCTTGCCTCCTCATTTACTTTAGTTGTTATTATCATCTCGGAAACTTTGATTCCCAGGCTTTCTTAAAGTATAAGGATCTTTAATTTCTAAGACACATTTCCAACTTTCTTTTCCCTTTGTCCATAGTCACCACGGTGCCTTCGGGAACACGAGCGTTATCAAAATTACAAAGTAAGAAGCATCCCACAATTTTATTGATAGACATTGATCACGCCGAGAGGGATCTGTCCATTAGACGTGACTCATTCAACGCAGTGCCGGGCGGCGTTTCTCTTCAGGAGATCAGAGACCCACTCTATGGATTGGAATTACTAAACCACATAAACTCGAATAGGAATTTTGATCATGTTATTCCCATCGGTGCGCTGGTTTTTTTCTTTTTTCCTCCGTTTCGCCATCGTGCATCTGATTAATAATAATAATAATGTATATATATATATATATATATTTTTTTTTTAATATATAGTTTGTTCCTGGAAAGACTCGAAGGAAATAATGCTTGAATGTATAAAAAGGGGTGCCGTGGATTACCTGATAAGACCCATCAGATTGGAAGTGGCGAAGACCATATTTCTGGTATTTTGAGATATCAAGCTTTGATATTGGTTTTCTTCTTTTGAACCGTTGTTTTACATTTTGCATCATCGCGTAGCATATACACAGACCAAGAATTATGAGCGACCGATCTTCCTCCGCGATGGACTATCCCAGAACCCCAATGCGGCGTCGTAGTTCCTTGGGGCAAAGACTTCAAGACGTCTTCATAAAAGATAGATGGTGCGTGAAACGTATACACACATATATATACATATATATTGCAGAGAGATGAGTTCTCAGGAGTATTGATATATATATATATATATATATTTTTTTTTTCTGGTTATCAGGCTGCAGGAAACCATATCCGAGTATTATACTCCACCGAAACCATCTATGACCATTGGTTTTCTCACGAGGTATGCAAGGCAACCATTTTCTGACTTGACTTGTAACGTAGCCAACGTGGTTTGTGCAACTCGACGTTTGCCTTTGAGAAAATAGCTAACTACTTTCGATGGTCTACATTGGTAGATTGAGTTCGGCTGCAGAATTGGAAAGAACAAATAATCTTAAAAAAAAACTAACTGAATGGGACTTTAATGCTCACGACTTGTCGGAAGAAGACCAATTGAGATGTGTTGTCATCATTTTTGAGCATGTCCTGGGATTAAAGGAACTCAAAGACCTCCATATATCGCCAAGTAGGAATCATCTCAGTGATAAAGTTAGATACGCGTGATGATGATTTATCGTTTCTGTCACTTTTTATAGACCAATTACACCAATTTATCTTCGCCATCATGAAGTCCTACCACGACACGAACCCCTACCATAATTTCGTCCATGCCGTGGACGTCCTTCAGGCGATGTTTCACTTTCTATGCCTAATAAATCTTATTCCTTCGTTTTTTCCATCTGGATATGAGAAAAAAAATCAGCAAAGGTGTATTCCCGATGATCTTTTGAAGGGCTCCGATGCCTTCGCGCTATTATTGGCTTCAATTGGTCATGATGTCGGTCATCCTGGCGTCAACAACCATTTCCTGGTATCTATCATTTTGTTTTTTGGATGCATATATGCTGTACATATCGATTTAATCATTCTTCTCTAGGTGGAATCACAAACTCCCTTGGCTCAACTCTACAATGACACATCGGTTTTGGAGAGCTTTCATGCCATGACGCTGTTTAATCTAATGCGGAAACATGGTTTCAAGGTTTATGAAACTGAAACCACAAAATATAAGGGTTAATATTATTATTAAAGTTTTTTCTATCTCGCACGAATCATTATTAAAAAAAAAATTTTTTTTCTTTCCCTTCAAAAATAAGAATTTCGCAAGACCGTCGTAAACGCGATACTTGCTACCGACATGGATATTCACAACGATTATATAGCAGACATAGAAGAGCATGCTAAAAAATTCAAATCATCTGATCCTCAACCAAGGCTTAAATCACCCGAGATACTAAGTAAAGAAAAAAAGACTATCACTGGTGCACTGATCAAATGTGCCGACATTAGTAACGTGGTACGTTTCTCTTACCAGGGAGTTTGAAATTGATGCTTGGTGCTCGGCAACATTTTGACCCATTCATGCGATTTATCCTAGGCGAGACCATATCATATTGCTGAAAGCTGGTCGAACGTTCTGATGGAGGAGTTCAGATGCCAAGGCGATCTACAGAGGAAACTTGGCTTGCCTGTCCACCCGTTAAACGACAGGCATGGAAGTTTGACGCAGTCCGATTCCCAAATATTCTTCATAGATAATTATGCAATGCCTCTATTCAAGAGCGTTGGTGATCTCTTACCAGGTGAGGCTGAGATTTTTTTTTTTACCCTGTGTTGTCGGATGCGTTTTCATGTGCACTTATCTTGTTGTTTCTCTTTCGTATGCAGAGATGAGTTTCTCCTTGAAGTATCTGGAAAACAACAGAAAATCATGGCAAGAATGTAAGAATGTTAGCGTTAACGATCGCTCGCATAGGCACAACAGCTCCGGTAATGATTCGGGAGTTATTGGTGAGTCATTTTGCAAATGATTCCAGATCAGTCCTCTTTCATTATTGTTGAAATGATTTTAATTTTGCGAAATTTTTTCGTTCAGTTTCCCCCATTGATAGCAGACAAAATTCTCCCATAGTTGCTGTTCCAGCAGCAATGACCATGCACCGTCAAGTGTCCGGTTCTTGCCTACGACCAATTTCTACTTTACCCGAACGTCCGGGCTCGGAAGCGCATTCTGACGACTTCAACAGATCTAATGTAGACGAGGTTCTTAGCAATGCGGGCGCATCGGATGCTCCTTTAGTGCATTCCAACAGTCACTCTAAACAACAATCATTCGGTTGGTCATTATTTGCGAGGAGCAAGTCGCAAACTGTTCAGAACACAAATCAATACAATGGCATCCCGTATGAACAAGGCGATCGGGAAAGTAGCACTATATGTTGTTGCATTCAGTAGTCAGATGTGAAATTAGAGGCTTCCTTCCAAAAACCATTCAATCCTCGATCCACCACACCTTTTTCGCATTCCATTAATTCCATCCTTCATCTGTACAAATTCTGCACAATTTATCTCTCAAACTTGTTTTAGCATCATAAAACTCATTGTACTAATTCCACTCACACACGTTCACAACCATTTCTTTTTCCCTAGACTTTTATTCAATCTTCTTTGTATAGATAGAGTTGTATATTTTTCCTCTTCTAGTTTCTTATTGGTCCTTTTTACTATTATTTGAATTGTCCTTGTATAATAGATAGATTTTAATCCGTTCACGTACATGTACCTCTCTACACTTTGAATCCTTTACATGTGGGTAATTATTGAAAAAGAAAAAAAGAAAATAAATAAAATATATCAAATTCCACGTTGCGTTATATGTTATAAAAAAGCAATCTCGAAACAAAATTTATTTCTCCGATGTATTTATTTACTGTATGCTTTTGTTTTCTTTGCTTCTATATTAATATGATTACTTTTAATAAAATTAAAGTTTTTATTTATTTATTTGTTGTTTATCGGGTTTATATTTTTTTCTCGCATTCAATCAATACCGAGATACTTTTTTATTTTAAAAATGATAAGAAAATTATTCCATAGCCAAAGTTTTGCATATTTCCAATACTCTACTTTTTATTAAAGTACTAATGATTTTACTTGAAAATTCGAGTTATAAATTTTAATACTGTAATTCATAATTTTACTTTTTTAAATTCACAATCATGCAATTATGATATACTGTATCTTTATTGAAATAAGCATTTACAATATTCATATAACAGTTAGCTTGCTATTGCTTGAAAGATTACATTGTTTAAAAAACATGAGAAGTTCGTTAAACTAGTTTGAATTAAAAAAATCAAGTCTAGATTACATTTTCCTAATAAATTGATACTAGTTCTCTATTCATGGTTTATTGTTGTAAATTATTTTATAAAATGATAAATTAATATATTAATATATTAAAAAATAAAAATAAAAAATAAAACAATTCAAAAATTTTTTAAAAAATTTTCAAAATATATAGTGTGTAACAAAATTTTTTAGAATTCTTTATTTATTTATAACTTATTAAAAAATCATCTAAATAATATAAAAATTTAAATATATATTTTTAAAAGTTAAAGAATAAGGTTACTTAAGACTATTTATATAAGTTTTATATTATTTTATATTAAATTTTTTATT